CGTTAGCTCAATGGAGCAAAACTAGAGCTGTGCGGTGTACTTGACTGTAGTCTAACCAGATCCTACAAAAAGTTGCGCGTTGCCTTCATGGATGTTTGGTCGGGCGTTATCCTCGAGAAAAACGATACTTTTCCACTTCGTGTCCTTATTTCGCAATTTCTAGGGATGATACCCCCGCTCCCTAAGTATCGCACTCATTGCTGATTTTTAGAGCACTTCGCAAATAGCACACATTGTTGGTCAAGAAGTCCCTCCTTTTTAGAGCACAGGGTTGATTTGGACTGGACCCTCCACCACATTCAGTGGATATCGACCCGTAAGGATCGATTTGTGCTTTCAAACCAGAAATTTTTTTAGTAGTGAAGAGTGTGACGAACTCTACTCCATTCATATCGCATGTGGTACCACAGTCGTAGCGAAACCTAACACGTACTTGATAATCGTGGAAGCATACGTTTACCCTCTATCCCATAGTGCAGGGAATTCTCATCCAGACTGAGTCAGACTGAGGTCGATCATAGCTCAGCGACTGTACATTATGGTTATTCGAACAAGTTATGGGATGTCAAAGGAATGTGGCGATGCCACACCATATTCGGTGGTGGTACTGCTTTGACATGTGGCTTGTAATTTAGGAGTGTGGGGTGTATTTTTTGGTGTATGGACGGGGGATCATGTTCCAGAGCTGCGATTTTTAGGCTTTCTATACTGCAGGCAGATGTCTCAGTATTGCCTTCTGTCGCATCGAAGGTGCTTCGTAACAAAGTGCCCGAGGTTCTGATCAACAGCTTTGCGTGTAGGATAAAAGTTATCAGTCGACGGCAGTCAGGTGTGGAGCAGCTAGAAAGAAATTAAAGACCCTTCTAAAACGGATTGTGTCAAGCGACCGGTGCTTATGATAGAACCTCGATAGTATTTCTAGAAATCAGATTACCAACCCAGCAGCTCGAAAACTTTAGATATTTTGAGCGCGTCGGACATTTTGGGTCTTAGCATTAAATATGAAACGTTACAGTAATTAGGCCAAGCTTATATGCGCGTTCATTTTACGATCTCCTCCGAAGAAAGATTCGGTTTATGCGAATATCGTACGGCCCTGGAATCAACCCACGCAGTCAAAAGGATCTGCGTATCGTTCGATGAGGAAATTGCATCCTATCAAGCCATGGTGGATTAGTTCTTCAAAAGTGACGACTTAGAAGAAAACTTGAACGTCTCTTTCTCAATACAGGCGATTGCCTCATAAATGGACTGAAGGATGCAAACATTTGGTACTAGTGCAGGGAAAGGTCTGGTAAATGTGCTACATAAGACAGAATTTTTCAACTAAAACTTCGACAACTCGAAAAATCGTTCTGCGACATGTCGCATGAGATTGATATGGAGGAAGTAAACGCTGTCAAGTGTTCCGCGATCTTTTACCATGACTCGATACAATCGATATAACTGAGAACAGCAGAAATCAGCATTGCGGATCCAACCGGCAGGCAAGCCTCTCATTATAGGACTCTCATTAATCTCAGGAAAACACTGATCATTGGATAAGACCCTTGATTTCCCTGACGTGATCGATTGCTTTTCGAGCATAAACATGGAATGACCGTGGATCGCTTCGAGGTCCGGACGATATTCGAGTGGTTCAAACCTTTCGTCGGTGACGATCAAGGTTCTTTGCAGCAGGTACAGCATTCAGCACACAAAAGTGGAACACCAGCCCTGTAATTCTCGTTTAATCTGCGTCTCCCAACCGTCAGCTGTCTTCTTGAAAGGAAAACTATCCGTACACGCCAACTTGGTTGGAGCCTTGACATGACGAACAGCAGGCTTGAGACTAACCCAATTTTCGATTTTGAGACTTTTCTACAGCGATGCTAGCACTGAGCGATTGCGTGGTAAAAGCGGCGAAGGTGATTATCAATATTGAGACCTGTTCACTTGAGTGTGGTCACATAGAACCTTCGGAACCACCAGCCGTACAATGGGAGACAGCTCTTCACTAAACGGAGCGCATGCGTCCGTATGGGTCGTTTTCAGTTCCGGAGCGATGAGTTCAGTTCGGAGCTTTTTGCTGCTCAGGAACAAATGAAATTCCCTGTAGCCACTGTATTGGAGAAGAATTGCATGATCATTGCATTTCTAACAAGGTTCTAGACAGAGACTTCAGTGGTAACCAATTCGCCTTGTGCTGACCGCAATATTTCCCTAGAAACATCAGTAAGTATTTTGGTACAACATAGTCAGGAATGTTTGCTGCAACTCACCGAATATTGCAATTCTGCTAGCCAAGTCTCCCTTTCTGTTCTTCACCAACCACATTCTTCATGGACTGTTGGTACAGAACGCTGAGGTTTTTTGCCGGTATCGTATTGGACACAATCATTGTACTTCCATGAAGATCTCCAAGTTCATTCACGAACTCATTTATGTCCGGGTCTCCCCTTAAAAGAGCTATACTTCACCAATAGATTCATACCGAGTATGTGAAGGAGCATTCATGATCCGCTCATAGTTTTGACTTGGAGGCAGCGACCGCGTTCACTCGATGTTTCTATGCCTTCTCTGGATATCCTACCCTTCGTACCAATTTCGGGGGGATGTACCAATTTCGCAGCTCAAAAATACAAAAAGAGAGCACGCTCGCTCGTGTAGAGGCTGCCGCTCCGCCCACTGCCCACCTAAGGCGGGCGGGCGGCTAACTCTTCAAGAGCGAGGTGCTATGTTCTTGTCTTTAGGCAGCGAAATTTGTGAATCCTCTATTTGTACGAAGGAGTACGATATCCAAAGAAGAAGACGTGGGAACATCAAATCGACGCAGCTCTGCTTTAAACGTGGGCGCGGGGCGCGTACGAGATGGGAACATAAAGATATCGCCTAGCAGGACGGAATTCCGCGACGCTGAGCAGCAGCTGCGTAGCCCCTTTCCAACAAAGAGGTACCCTTATAAATGCCCTATCAAGCACAAACATACCGACCCGAACGCCCACCACGCCCGTCCGCCCACAAAAGGACAACCATAGCTGGTGCTCGTATTGCTCCATTTACGAAGCAAAATATGAAGCGAAGAGACTGATTAGAAGTGGACGTGGTGCAGCATGGATATATGTCCATACATGGAGCCGTATTTTCCTCAGCGCTTACTGGCTAGATGAGGAAACGAGGGACTGGTCCATTGCTTTGTTTGTTTATTAGAAATGAAAGGCCAATTTGGGCAGGTTCTGACCATTTGTCACTCTCGTTCTCTCAATTTCCCCCCCCCCCCCCACAATATATGGCACCCTTCTAGCATTTTGAGAAAAGCACCGTCATCGTGTCAACTGCCTTTGAGCGACTTCTTTGAATCCCTCCCCCCCCTACCCCTCGTTAATTCTCTCTCTTAGCTTAGAAAAGACAAGAGATGTCAGAGATGAGAGACAAAAATTGTAATGATTAAGATACTACATGAAATCAAATCAATGCCAAACTACCTAACCATGAGTGGACCACGGTAACAAGTGAGAATTACATCATCACATACAGATCACATTACCAACACTACTCAAGAATCAGGGCCCAAAGGATCAATTCTCTGCAAAGCTGTTCTACAGATGAGCCAATGATTGCAACAAAACAAGACAGGCTAACCGTATCGATAAAAGAGATATCTAGAATTGATGACCAAGGTGCTGTTGACTGTGTCTGATAAGAGAAAAAACTAACAGCTCAACTTTGCACGGCACGAAGTGCACAAAAAGATCATTTTTTCGTCCATTCGTCAACTGCTTGAACTTCTTGATTGCTCTGAAAGATGTTTGTTGATTAACAAAGCCGAACAAACTTCACTTAAAGAGCTCTATACCTTTATTACGCCCAACTTAATTCGTAGTAGTGGGACTTCTAGGAATCCTGCACTTAAATGCCTTTAGAGGTAATTATACATTTACCCTGTCATATGGTGGGCACATGACGTTCCAGGAGGGTTGGTTTTATTCACAAACTCTCGTATCCGTGGGAAAAAGTTTCATACACTCTCCTCTAGTCAATTTCTATTTTGGTTTTCGGAATGGAAACATTCCAGTGGAAAGGATGATAAGCTAAAGGAGATACTCACTTCGAATATTTAATGTTGGGCAGGACAGTTTAACATTCAGCAACATAAGTTTTGACAGACATTTAAAAGTCTCCGAGCGGCCTCATGTTAGCTTGCATCCACACCGCGTTCAGTGAACACCATCGACGGCGGTCGAGGCATTGCTGTTGTAGCCGCAACTCCGCTTCTCTTTACCTTTTCCTATTGTATGCTTACAGTTACCTACCTACCTCCCTATATGAATCTCCATTGTTTATTATTGTTTACTTGTCCAAAAGCAATTCTACTATTTATCAGTTAGCACCTGTCCTCATGGTACTACCTGCTTTGGTTTCCCAGCGTCTCAATCCCAATCCAGCTTTTGAGCTGTGTTACTTTCGCTAGAGTTGGATCGATGATGAATTTCTTCTAGATCATATTTCACTGTTTCAACTCTTACATTCAAGTTCATGAATTAGCAAATAAGAAACTACTAAACCACTCAAGAAGGTTTCCCGTGGACGAATTTAACAGGGCGTCAAACTAGCACGCCTATCGCAGAAGGGCCCTCTCGCTCCTCACCAACGTCATTCATCCCATCACCGCTACTGCTTCCCGACGTTTGTACGCGCTAATGCGGCTATCTGGGCATGTAGACAAAAACACGTTGGATTGCCAGTGACAACTACGTAGCTGTCGAGTAATCTGTTAGGTTCCGGGCAATAACTTTGACAGAACGGGCTTGCACTCTCATTGTGGAAAAAGATCCACGTTTTCCAGTACGATGTGCTGGCTGAAGAGTTTACAAAGTACACCACCGACACCTGAACCGATTAGGATCACGAAATCATGAAAAAAATCATAAATAATCATTTCCCCTCTAGAGTGCTCTATAACTAAGTATTAGGGTCTTGTCCTATCTCTCTGTTCAGTTAGATCATTCTCTTCCCACTGCATATGTGGTACTCCCATCCTTCCGACCTCTGCTCCCTTTGACTCGTTTTTCTTCACTCTATGGCGTTTGTAGGACACAATTACATGTTTTTGACTCCGACTACGCCTACAGTATGTATGTCTCCTTATTCCCATTTGCTGACCACCTCGCTAACCTTGATTCGCTTTTTTCCAGCACTAGGTCCGCTGTAGAGCCCGTATACGAGTTTCTACATTTGACACGCTCACCGCGATGCACGGACCGTCTTCCCAATTCACAACCCCTACTCACAGCTCACTTATGCTGCGTTTATACTTTGCGACAGCGTATGCCAGCGTACGCTAGCGTTTCCAGCGTTCGGCAGCGGCAGTGGCAAGGAAAGGATAGGATATCGATCTAGCGTCACCAGCGTGCGAGCGTAACGCTAGAGTATTCTAGCGTACGATAGCGTAACGCTAGAATACCAGAGCACGTCATTGGTTGGGGATTTTGGTCGAGTCCGTAGGACCCCCCCCCCTAAAATGCGGATCGATACGATCCCCCTTCTAAGGTTCGTTGTTTTTTTGCCTTTTATTCGCTTTCTTCCAACACCTACGTGGAAGAAAACAAGTGCCAAGCTAAAAATTCCCCCTGGCTTCTGAGCACCTTCCAGCACTGAACATCACCCAGCCGAAGAATTTCTGTACTAGTTAATTTCCAAACATTCCGTAGGTACACAAAACAGGATCCCAGCAAAATTGCTCACTCTATTTACAGGAATTCAGTTTAGATGAACTCCGGTGTTTTAATACATGTGTTACTTCAGTTAAGATGGAGAACCATAAGGCCCGTCTTTAAATAGGTGAAAATTCAAAAATTATAACAATTTTTCACTATTTTCTACTTCACTCAAAAACTTGTAAAGCCTTCGGCCTCGCGGTTCCATGCCGATATCTAACGATTACGGCTGACCGGCTCACCAAGTTAAACGTGTGAGTGCTGTAAGGTTACGGCATAAGCCGTTAAGCTGAGAGGGTGAAAAGCGGCCCTGGTGGCGTAACGGATAGC